GGATAAGGGGGGTGGGATGAGGGGGAATGGGATTGGGATGGGATGGGATGGGATGGGGAGGTAGGGGAAAAAGGAGAGAGGTGGGGCGTGAGGGAGGGTGAGGGTTTGGAATCATGTGCGTTTAAGACTTAATTAAAAAATTCTCATAATCCAAAAAGAAAGGGTTAAATGGACATTGTAGTGACCATGCCAAAATCATGAAAAGAGTTAACTTTAGGCGTTATGAAAACATGAAAACATGCTGATGTAGTTTTATATTAATTAAAAATGAAGGTTGCCTTTTTATTTTTCTCTTCCTTTCTACCTTTTTGTTGAAGGTGTTTTCTTTTCTTTTTTTGGGCCCATTTTGTCTAAATATAGATAGGCCTAACAAGGCATGCCACTTTGGTGAAAGGATCTTGCAGAGTAATTTATTGTTCACCTCACAGCGGCGGTGGGGGATACGTTCTGAGCAGAGAAGCGTTGAAAAGGCTGATGGTCCAAGGATTGTACCCAGACCGATGCGAGTCGGGGGGAGCGGGTGAGGATATCAAGGTCGCCAAGTGTTTGGAGCGAGTGGGAGTCAAGACAGCCAACTCTACAGACTCACAGGGCAGGCATCGTTTCAATTGTTTCCGGATTGACCAGCACATGACTGGGCTGTATCCGAAGTGGTATTACCGGAAGGACTACAACGCTACCCAGAAGGTAGTGTATGCTATGTGGAAGAGTTTAAGAATAAGACCTCTTTTTAACTCGGTACTTTTAAGACATTTGACCTCTGATGCAACACTCATATCCGGTAAGACCGATATAAATCTCGAAAGAAGATTAGTAATGTCCCACTGAGCAGGTGAACCCATACCATCAACTTGAAACAAACGGGCGATTCTCCCATGAAGTAGAGTTTCTATTTTGTTTTCAGGTTGACTCTTGTATTTTGTTATTATTTGTTCATGTTAAATGTCCAACTAGACACGCTTACGAATACTGAGCGCAAGAGACGTCTACAGGTCCTGACATCTGACCTTTAAAAAGTATACTCTAGAAGGACCGGAAATCATAAGAACCAAATTATACTTCAACCTTAAAATTTTGTTAGTTGATGTTATATCGTATGGGTTTCTGGTCCACTTAAGCGCACTAAAGATATAAAAAATCGATCAGCAGGCCAAACCTTCAAACATTGATGCAACAATTTAGATCACTTCCACGATGTGCTGCTTCAACCATGAATGTCAGAAAAACCCGCTGTGTGTGGGATACATCACATCAGAATAACAAAGAAACTCAGTAAACTGCAGTATCTTAACCAACTGAGAATCGAACTCTTGCCTTTATGTGAAATATTCGGACTTCAAATCTCACCACAGACTGTGGTGCGGTTGTCAAATGCTCCTTTCTATCTCAATGAAAACTTTATAAGCTAAAATGGACACCCGCAAGAAAGATCCTTGAGGTACTATTTTTAGATTGTGTTTTTCTTTGAGAGGCGATACTTCTGATCCAATCTGGCTCAGTCCTTTCGGAAAAGGACGTTAAACTCGGAGGTCCCTTTCGTAGATAACCTAAAAGTATTGACAGGGGTATTAAACCTATACCATTTCACCATTTCAGATGATAAGATAAACACTCTGTCAAATAAAATAGAGTTCAAGTTCATGTGTTGTGGATTCAAACATGTTCATTCACATTGCTACATACTTTAGAAATAGCTGCTCCAGGACATTTTACATGTGCCTCATTCTCGAAACTTTTTTTTTTACAGGGAGTTAAAAGCTTGAGTGATACCCCTATCAGTTTCCACCATGTGGAGGGGCCCGAAATGCTTACAATCGATTTCCTGATGTACTACGTGCGACGTCTAAAAACAGACCACTGGACTTCCGAGTAATTCGTTGTACCTGGTTTGAATTAAAAACAACTTTCCTACAATACTTGTTAACTAATGTGTTATTCACTTAATTGAATGTTGTCTCTGATCAGGTCTCCCCCCTCCCCCCC